TGAATCAACAATAATTTTTCTACTCAAATACTTACAGTGGTGAGATGAAGAAGTGAAAATAAAGATATCTGAGGCTTATAACTAATAAAAACTACCCCTTTTAGAACTTCTCTTACGCTAATAATTTGGGAGCCACATGCAAGATATAGTAGATGATTTACAACAATTTCAGATCATACAATCTGATTTAAGTTCTTTTTAAGAGTTTGGCCATTCTTTTACTACTAAAAAATTTTTGGTTGATTGTAATTTTTTTTAACTTATTCCACACTTTTAGAACCATCTCACCAATTTTCTAGTTCAGATTTTCTCTCTCAGCCTATTTTCTGGGGTTTAACTCCTTCTCAATACTCTCCTTGCTCATATTAATTCCTTATCCTTTCTTCCAAAAAACTCATCTACTGCTTTTTCAATTGTATACACGAGATTGGGAGGAAGGTGCTATAAAATCTTGATATGATTTTACTCTTTAAGTAAAAAATTACTGTTCAAAGTATTTACATTTTTGGTAATATTGAAATAACTAAAATTTAAATGAACTGATTAGTTTAGATGATAATACCAAAGTATTTAGCACCAAATTTCTAAAGCAATCCAGTTTGAAATATTGTTATGTCAATGCCAATCTTTGCTATAATTATATTCTGATAGTATCCTATTGAATGGCTTCACTGAATATTCCAATGAATAAAAGTATGAGAGATCAAGAGAATAAATGAAAACAAAGAAAAATGGAAATAAATGCCCATTATTAACAGTGCAATTTAGATTTAGCAGAGTACTATTTTTAAAAAAATGATATTTAGTTCTTTAAATGGATTTTTTTAAATGTCAGATTATTGTGTCCAAATGTTATTCTAAGTAGATCTTTGTGAGTCTATGTCAGTCAGATAAAAAGATATCCTTAAACAAACATCAGAAAATAATGATTCTTTATAAGCATTACAAATTGATGGCCAAATAAACAACATCTCAAAATGCTTTGTGTGTGAGTATGTGTTTTGTATATAATAATAAATTCAATAGCCCTAATAACATCTCATAGAAAAACTCATCATAATCCATCAAACAAAATATGAGTTACCTCTATCTTTATCAAAATAGCATTTATTTAACCTCAAAAAAACATTTTATCTCTAACTGTATCTCCTTCCATTGATATGATTATCTACTTTTTAGAAATGCAAGCAATTATTATCGTTGTTAAAGATTTCAGACACATGAAACTTCAGTGTCAGTATAATAAAAGAATTAAACAGGGGAGAAAAAGGAGAAATGTCTATTATGTGGATGATTATAATATTTATTAAATGGTTTTATTGTAGACGTACTCTAAGTGGGTGAGATCAAGCAGTAAAAATTTAAGAATCATGCTAATCTCAAAAATTAGTGTAAAAGACTTCCAAGACAAAAAATTTACTATATTGAACTTTATAAAAATTTATGGAAAATAGCTAATAATATTTCTCTAATGTCTGGCTCATGTCAGTTCATACTAGATTTTTTAAAAAATTCAATAAAGCATATAGGAAGGTAGCACTAGCAAATAAACTCAAACAAACTTGAAGCAGCAGTTAACGTGAATGAGGAGTCATGTGGTGAGTAGGACCTGGGAGAGACCATACATGTTAAAATGAAAGCAATAAACAGCAGTAACAGAAAGTAGAACAACAAAGACAGATATGATAATAAAAAGCAAGATATATATTTTGATATGCAAAAATGCTGCGTGTTGTGTAAAAATCCATTGCTTATTTATTTACTTTTTAAAGAATATGTGATTAAGCCATGAGGGGAATAGGTTAAATTCATTTCAAATTCTCAGGTAAACACCATGGACTAAATAACGGTTCTCTGAATCCCTGCTTCTTCAAAGAGCAAAATATCACTGTGTAGATGTTGGGTTGGATAAACTACAAAAACTAGAGGTAAACATTTTTCCATGTATTTCAAATGCCTTTCCGTAGACAATTTATTTAAAATGTACAACTGAGGTATTAAAACACTTCATGTCTGCCTGTGATAGAATTTTAATGAAAATTTCCCTATTCTCTTCTTGCTTTCATCTATTTTTCCCTTTTCTCAATATCTGTTTTGCTTTGTGGAGGGGTTGGAAATAATGATAATTGTAAAACTGAACTATTAGGGCTTGCTTAAATCAGTGACTGGGAAATAAATTAGCTTCTATTCCCACAAAGTAATAATATCAGTTAAGTGAGACCTTCCAGTTATGGTGCAGGAAATTAAAGCCATGATGGCTAAAGCTTTAACAAAGTCACAAGAGACTGTATATTATTGATTCCAAGAAAGACAGATTTCTATTATCCAGAAATATGACATCTGTCTCAAAATGCATGATTAAAAAAACCAAGCAAACAAGTTGAATCAGCTCAGTAACAGGAAAATATGCAAATGACTAAAAAGAAAATAAAATCAATATTAAACAAAAACAAAAGCAAATCAGGACCTTCAAAAGAACGAAATTGAACTGTTTAAAACAAATATTTGAAATAATATAATGTTAATTTCTTAGAGGGAGAATTCATTAATCAAAATGTAAAATCCTGAAGGTCCAGGAAGAGTAACTGCTTATGTGGGTTTGTTATCAGGTTAATAGAAATATAAAATTAATGGTGATGAATGCACAACAATAGGTACATAACAAAAACAATCAAAGTATATGCATTAAAGAAGTTTTACAGTATGTGAATTATGTCAATAAACAAATTCTTTGTTTTAATCTATGATGAGTCTAATGGCTGTCACCTATGATATCTTTAGAGACAACCTCAGATTTTTTCATATCTTAGTTTATTTTTACAACTATTTCTGAGATCCACAGAATAAACTGAGTTTTAACTAAAATTCACAAAGCCAGATTAAAAAATACTTGTTATTAATTGCATTCAGACAAAAGGTGTTATATAGCCTGTTGCTGTACTCAAGGGGGAAAAAAAGACCTCAACAAAATTTAGATGGTCTTCTTTTAATTGTATCAATGCCTATACACCAACACATATGGTATTTTTATTATGCTCCCCAAAATTCTGGCATCCTCTCCTTGCTGATTCCTCTTTATGGATCCTCATTTCTGGGAAGCAAGCTGCTTTACTGCCATCATGTTCAGGCTGCTGAATATTGGTAGAAAGTCATGAAATTTGGCTTAACTTCTGTACAAATTGATGTTATCTAACCTCATCTGAGCCTTCAATGCTGCTTGGAAATCTTTTTATTAAAGTCTAATTGGCTCCTAAACACATTTTTCCATAGTGCTCACTTTACAGCTTTTCAAATCTGTCCTTTCAATGTGACCTCACCTATTCACTCAATAAAAATCCTCTCTGTCTACTTGATGGAAACTTTTCTCTGCTTCAAAATTTACCTTATCATTTGTAGGGAGTACTTCATTTGAAATAAACCTGACTTTCATTATCACTTGTCTGAAACTATCTTAGCTGTATAACCATGGCAAGGCAATTAATTTATGTGGTCCTTGATTTTCTAATCTGTAAAATTAATACCATGTACTTGGTGAATTTTATTCATTTGTTTTTGAATTTTTTTTGGCAGTGCTGGGGATTTGACTCAGGGCATTGCACATGCTAGGCAATCACTGAGCTACAACCCCAGCCCTATCTTAAGAATGGGTTTTGTTAAATTGCTGAGGCTGACCTTGAAAGAGTGACCCTCCTGCCTCAGCCTTCCAGGTGCTGGAACTATAGGCATGCAGCACCAAACCCTTCCACTTGGTGAATTTTAAAGCCATGTTCAATATTAAATAAAAGTCTTTCTAATCTTGTGCTTAGTATTTTGTACTTCCCCCAAGACCTTTCCCTTTCATTCAGCCTATACATACTGAATACAAATAAGGCACAAGGCATTTTTTTCTCTGTTAATCTCCTATCAGTTTGATTCTTCTCACCTTAAACATGCTTAAGACTTCATCTTCTAAAATCCTTCTTCATTATTGTAATTGCACAAGCTAACGGTTTCACTACTTTTCAATCAAATTACTGCAGGATATGGATAATACTTGAAGACTTTGCTTTCTTATGACTAACGTATCTTTTTATGCCTTCAATTTGGCTTCTGTTTCTGGCACTTTCTCAAAACAGCTGTTGCAAAGGTCAAATGATTTTTTTTTTTTGATGCTCATCCTACTTGAACTATCCCTGATATAAATCATCACTGGTTTTGAACCACCATCTTGAAACTTTGTTTTCACTTTCCTTGACCCTCAAAGTCCAGCTCTATTTCTGGGGTGCTACTTTTCTCCTCTCTTTCTTTACTTTTCTGTTCCTTTCCTGGTCTATGTCCCAAACATGGATATCCATCAGTGATCTCTTTTGATCTTTATTTTTCTTCTACTGAAAGCGTCACTCATCCTTGGATCTTAATAGTTTATGTGGATTACAAAAACTTTTTAACTGAACTCTTTCAGTAGCTGGACATCTCTATTTGTTGGTCTCACTAACCTAAAGTTATATTGAAATTAAAATTCATCACTACACTCTAAAACCCACGTAAGAGGAAGGAAAAAAAGGAGGGGGGAACGCAACCTGATCTAGCTCTTAGAATTCTTCCATTAATGATATAAAAAGTTTTCTAGTGATCAGGAGTCACATGACAGGGTAAAAAAATGTCACTTGTGTCAGGAACTGCTCTGTCCTCTGAAAACCCACAGCTTTTCATATACTTAGCTCTTTATTGTACAAATATCTCAAGTCTCTGAAAAACAACAAAATTATCATTCTTATCATTACCTGAGGTTATGATCTAGAAAACATAGGCTGTTTTAAAACAGCATCAAAATTAGTCTCAAGCCATTTTTTCCCACCTCACAACAAAAATGTAATCATACATTCAATTATATCCGTTTGCTTTTCCAGATCCTTCCTTTAATTCTGTGAGTTAATACAAAGACCAAGAGAATCCAATGAAAGCTCATTTCAACTAGATTTAAAGAGAGGGAGAAAAGAAAGAGAAAGCCATCCACTCACACTTTGTCTGTCCCATAACTCCTGTAGTCCACAGCCGCAGACACAGCCACAATGAGCGCGGGCATCCCATAGCCCACCAAGTAGAAGTACTTCCTCCGTGAATGCTCACTCTCGAAAACCTCCACCAGCATGATGTACAACTGCACGCCCTCCAAGAACATCCAGGTGAAGGCAGCCAGGAAGAAGAAATGTAAGAGGGCAGCGAAAACGGCACAGGCGATCTAGGAAGATGAGCAGAGTCAGTCAAATATCTGCCACGTGAGTGTGTGTCAACTGCGAAAAACTGACATGAGTGTTTATCAACATTGCGGTAGTAAGGTAGGTCTGTGGAAGTCATCCAGAGAAGATCTTTAAAATACATGTGTTAAACACGAATTAGATATGGTTTATCTTTGAAATCTGTACTTAATACCAATAATGGCTTAGGTATGGCAACATAGCATCAGAATAAGGACAAATTACAACACTTAGGAAAAAATTCTAATAAGAGCCTATAGATAATCACCACTAAGCTTAGTCTAAAGATTTTAAAAATAGATTTCAGGAATTTTTTTTCCTGATCAGTCATGTGTGTACTAATATAGTAAATTGGTTTTGTTGTTGTCGTTTGAGGCTAGCATTTAACCCAGGGCCTCAGTGCAAGGCAAGAGCTCTACCATTGAGCTACATCTCCAGCTCTACGTTATTTAATTGTAAAGAAGGGAGGAACATTAAAACCAAGGGGAATAAATTTTCTTAAAATTAAACAATATAATTAATAATAATCTTTTATGATGAGATTACTAATTATTAGTAATTTCTTCTTTATTGATTCCCTGCCTTGTTTCTTTCCTGGTATTTTTGTCAATGTACTATGTATCACTCTAAACAAGACTAGCCAAATGAAGCAACAGTTCTTATTTATTTATTTGTTTGTTTGTTTATCTTTCTATTTATTTATTTATATTAGCACACACATGACTAGGACCAGGAGAAAAAAAAATAATCGTGAAAACTATTTTTAAAATATTTATTTATTTATTGGTACCAGGGATTGAAGCAAGGGTTGTTCTACCACTAAGCTACATCATCAGTCTTTTTCTTATTTTTTTAATTCTTGAGACAGGTCTCAGAAAGTTGCCTGGGTTGACTTTGAACTTGTGATCTTCCTGCTTCAGCCTCTTGAGTAGCTGGGATTAGAGCCATGTGTTACTTCATCTGGCATTTATATACAAGGTACTGTAAATTTCTGCTGACCATCTATTAATTTTCCGTTCTCATTTCAGCTCCCGAAATTCTCACTGCTTTGAGTTCTTGCTATTTACATGAAGTGTTGACTAAATTCTATAACTCCTATTAGCAAACATCAGCACCTTATAGAAATTTTTAAGAATAAGATTAATTTATTGATAAGTCTGGTCCTAAAGAAATGTGACAAGCAGGCACGGTGGTATACACCTTTAATTAATCCCAGTGACTTAGAGGCTGAAGTAGGAGGATCACATGATCAAGGCCAGCCTGGGCAACTTAGTGAGACTCTATTTCAAAATAAAACATAAAAAGGACTGGAGATATGATCAGTGGTTTTGTGCCCCTTGGTTAATCCCCAGTACCAAACAAACAAACAAACAAACAACAACAACAAAAAAAAAACCAGGGATGGGGATAGAAAAATGTGAGAAAGGGTAGGTCACTGTCACTGGGATAGAAAGATGACATGAAGGACATGTGAAAGAGAGAGAAATCAGGTCTCAAGCCTTAGATAGATGTAGAAGAGGATACCTAATCAGCAATAAAAGGAAAGATAAGTTTGGTTGAGCTTCACTATACCCAGGTTTTTTCATATCAATCACTATTTTTTAATATTTATTTTTTACTTATAGGTGGACACATACCTTTATTTTATTTCATTTTTTATATGGTGCTGAGGATCCAACCCAGGGCCTCGCACGTGCTAGGCATGCACTCTACCTCTGAGACACAATCCCAGCCCCTCAATCACTATTCTTTATGTGACTCATCAAAAACCAATTTGTGTAGTAGACAATATTTAGTGAAGCTCATCATACCATATGTAATGTCAGGAAGCAAAAATAAAAATAATATTTCTAAATGAAAAGAAATCAAATAGTATTTAAATTGCAGGTTAACAAAAGAACAACATAATCTCTTCTTGAAAAATAACACAATTTTTCATTTATTGCCTTTTAGAATTAGAACTTCAGCTATTAATTTTTGTTATTGTAGGGCTTTACTTTTTTGGGGAAAGGAAAGTGTACTTTGATTGCTTATTCATATATATACATTTAGGGACAAAATTACCACATAAGTATATGATAACCAATTACAAATATATTCACCATAATTGTACCTTTTGAGTCATTAATCATGAATGTGTAATCACAGATATGAATCCAGCTGCATTTGTACCATAAAGTACACCATGCATATAGGCACATACTAAAGAATAGTATTAAGTGAATGAATTATTTATTATACTCAAAAGTCTTTCTTTTCCATTGCAGTTTTAATCATGAAAACAAACTAGTACCATAATTATCAATCTTAAACAGAAAAGGCCTCAAAAAATTTTAAGTGGGCACAAAATCTGTGTAATGTAAGATGTTGTCTATTGTTTATACATTTGGTTTGGTTTTACCAAAAACAGTTGGCTAGTTCCGTTTGTTTTTTTCTTTCTTTGTTTCTTCCTTCTTTCCTCAGTAATGACTAAATGTAGGAAGTATTCAAGAATGAAGCTGGCACTTAAAGAGGTGAACTGTATCCAACGAAATAAAAAGTACCAAACAAAATTTGGGAAAAGCATATATATATATTCTAAAAATAACCTTTAGTTTGTACTCTTTGCCAAAATGTGTCAATTAGAAAAACTATTTTTGAGATGAAAAATGTAAGATAATATTAGCTATCTTTTCAAGATTATAAAGCTGAAAAAATAACAATTCTGTTTGAAAAGATATTTCTGCATTCTCCAAATGACCTTATTAAACATTCTCCAAGATTCAGCACTACAATTTTAAAAATTAAGAAAAAGATAATGAAGATATGTAGTTCTTCAGAAAGATGTTTATGAGAAAGGAAAGAAAATTTTGGAAGTAATGTAAATCTTATTCAGAATAGTATGGCCATTTCTGAAGACAGTTTGTTAATTTCTCCCAGAACTAAACATATTCTTATGATATGATCCAGTAATTACACTCCTCGATATTTACCTAAAGTAGTTGGAAATATGTTTGTACAAAAACCTGCATATGAGATGTTTATAGTATCTTTATTCATAATTATCCAAACATGGAAGCAACCAAGATGTCTGTCAGTAGGTAAATGGATAAATAAAGTGGTACATTAGACATTTTGGACTGCTATTCAGTACCAAGAAGAAATGAGCTATCTTGTCTCCAAAAGACGTGGAGAAAACTTCAATGTATATTACTAAGTGAAAAATCAAATATGAAAAAGCTACAAACTACATGATTCCAACTGGATAATATTTCAGCAAAGGCAAAACTATGGAGACAATACAAATAATTAGTGGTTGCCATGGCTTCAAAGGGAGGGAGGAATGACCACAAGAAGTACAGAGAATTTTCAAGTCAATGGAAATATTTTGTGTGATATTTTAAGGGTAAATATACAGATCTATGCATTTGTCCAAACTCATAAAATATATAAACACCTACAGTGACTTCTAACAAATTATGAACTATGGACTTTCAATAATAATAATAATATGTCAATATGGGTTCACCAACTGTCACAAATGTATCATTTGGATGGAGGATATTGATAAAGGAGGAGACTATGCATATGTGGAAACAAATGATCATTGGAAAATCTCTGTATGTTTTACTGAAAAATCAAAACCTGCTCTAATAAATAAATAAGCAAACAAATAAATAAAAGATGTGCATCTCATTCACATTTACTAGTATTTTACGACAGTGAAACATGAAAAACGGAAAACTTGAGTAACATCTGAAAAGTACTGTCTATTAAATCAAAGAAAATATACTTTCAATCATAATTATTTTCAGTATTGGCAATATGGAAAACTGGAAGTGAAAGAATTCTTTACTAATGTCAATGAAGGTGGCTTACTGGTTGGTCAGTTCGGTTGATTCCAATGAGGAAGAGCAGCTCTGCTACAAAAAGGCTGATGCAGAGATTCTTGTGGATGGTGTTACGGTCACTCTGGAGCCCACGGAAAAAGCAAAATGTGAAGATGCAGATCAGGAGACAAACAAGAGACAGCAAAATTCCAACCCATGTAATCACATCCAAAAGAAGGTCATGGACTGCATCACTGTGCTGGAAACACAATAGGAAAAAAAAAGTTGTAATCATCATAACCAATTATAAAGTTTCATATGTGCCTGGATTCAGGAAACATGATCTTAATAATGCACAAAATATCCTACATACCTACAAGAAATAAAATTTTCTCTTTCACAAATACAGCATTTCATCTTTCCTCTGAAGTGTGAATCACTTGCATATTCACCAATGTCAATAGCATTTGCTGCTTTGTTAGCAAATGCATTTCAGGATAGTAATAACTGACTCAGATCCATTTAATTTGGCCAAATATTTAAAGGAAAAACTTTGGTTTTCTAACTTATATTACTTTTAAAATTAATTTTCATACAGCTGACTCTGGGGAATACTCTATTAAAAAAACTAAGCTACACACTTAAGGAAATGGTGTCACAATTCAATTTTGAATCACTTCAGGATTGTTTTGTATGTGAAATATATAATTCTTATGTTCTATAAATTCTTTATCAGAATTTACAAGTTGAGTTCATAAAAGTATGCATTTTTATAAAAATCCCCAGTTAATTCTCATGAATAGTCACATATGTGTACCATTTATTTAGTGGGAAGATCTAAAAGAAAGAAGATATTCATTGGATTTATATTCATATTGAATGGCTTAAGGAGATCAGGAAATTTGATCCTTGAAGGGGTTTAAATGAATGAAATCTGTTATATGTAGATGGGAAGTAAGTATTCTGAATCACTATGCCTAATAACAGAATAAAGCAGATAATAGAGCTAAGAAACAAGAAAAAGTTCACAAATACACTTCTGTGCTTCATGACACTGCCATTTTGGGCTATGATAAGAAGGTCATGGACTGCCTCATTCCTTGGTCTGTCCATTATTTCATTTTTGTATTTATCCTAAGACTCAGAAGTCTCTGTCCATTCTGTTTTAGTTTGCCCCCATGCAAACTAAAACCCCATTCCCCAAGGTTTTAGAATTCGGGGTCTCCCACCATAGCCGTGTGCCAAGGTGGTAGAGCAGAGTTGAGAAACTCTCTATGATAGTCCATTACTTTTATCTTCCTAGGTTTCCTGCAAAGCCCTAAATACCTAACTTCTATCAGTAGAGGACTAGATAAGTAAATAAAGTTAAAATGTGTAATTCTTAAGTAGAAAATCAATATATTAGACTTACTGTTACAAACATGGATACGTCTCAAAATTCTAATATAAGGTTTACTTTAAAAAAAAATAGCAACCAGCAAAAGAATCTAAACAGGATGAGATCATTTATTAAAAAAAACTTAAAAGATACAAATCGATGACATTAATTTTTTATGAACATATGCAAAAGTACAAACATGTACTTAGAAAAACTCTGAGTGGATAACAATAGATATTTTCCTAATGGATAAATTTTTTCAACTGTGTAGATCACACATTGATTTAGGATGGAAGTGACCAATTAATTATTGTCCACACCAACCGAGGTGAGTACTCCTGTTAAAATTACATCGATATCTAAGCCTTCTGTTTATTGTCTTTCACTTCAAACTTCAAGCTTTCAAAGATCATTTGGAATGTAGAAATTATCAGAAGTGACCCTCCAGGCTGCAATCTGAATCATAATACTTCTTATGCTGCTGGATATGACTTAACAGTTGTTACTGGATGAAGACTTCTTCTAGAACTGTCAGTGAAACTGTTCTGAAATATTTCTGTATGACTCTAGAGTGTATTTCTCCAAAGAAACACAAATCATGAAAGAAAATCATATGAAACTGTGTTAACTGCTTTGTTCTCCAGGGGATACTTCTAGAGTAGGGTTGGGTCTCTGACAGCTTAAAATTACTTTTACTGTTTGAGAACGGAGAGTGGTTATTGCTACCGGGTTCTCTGAACAGAGAGCTATTTGCTCTCTTGTTTGATTCAAAGAAAAGACGCTGCAATTGAGGATCAAGCACCAATACGCAGCACAGCAGTCTCCAATAATGGAAAAAATATATATATAGCAGGTTTAATACCTTCTCAAATATATCCTAAAGACTTTAAATACCAAAGGAAAGGGAAAAGGAAGGGGGGCAGGTGTAGTGTAAGAGAGAGGATGAAACCGAAAAAAAATAAAAGAAATAAAAGCTCCCAAAATCTTTCAGCAGTTGCAATACTAAAATGTGTTACTTGGTGTCTTCGTAGGTCCTTCAGAAATCCCATAAAGTTATTGAGAGAAGAATAACAGAACTCAAAATGTCACAAACAAAAGTAAAAAACATTCAAACAAAAAGAAAGGCGATGAATACTGGGATCTGATATAACTCAAAATGTAAATTTGATCAGTAAGATGAAAGGAAAAGAACAATGGATATTAACTGTTAATAAGAGATGAAAATTTAAAGAGCCTTGTTTATAGTAGCCTTCTATCTATAATCATTAACTTCCAGGAGGCTAGTACTTGAAAGCAAACAAACAAAAACAACAACAACAAAACTCCCTTCAAGAGATTGGCCAATTAAGTAAAACTCTCAGGAAAAGTTGTAACAATGTGTTAATGGAACAAGTATTCCTATTTCTGAAGTTCCCTGCTTGTGAGAACTATGTAACTCAATTCCTGTAACAGGGTTTATACACACTCTCATGCACCTAAAGAACAAGGATCATATTCATCTTCTAGAAATATGCATGACACAGAAATATGCTTTGTCAATATTTTCTTTTAAATAATTATATACCCCACTCCTTTCAGAACAAATTCCTGAGGGTTGAACTCTTGGTATAGCTTCAACATCCATCCAATCTCCACTTAGATATTTAATGTTATTAAATATTATATGTCAAAAACTGACCTTATCCTGTTCTCTTTTCTCCTACAACCCTCTAATCTGCTTTTTCCCTCTGATCCCCCCAAGTCAGGAAACAGCAACTTCATTATTTGAAGTATTCTGGACAAAAACTTAGGAGTCTTATTGATTTCTGTATTTCTTTCACATACAGAAAAACCTTTTAATTGGTTGAGAGATCTTATAGATTCTACCTTCTAAATCTGACAGTTGCTCATAACATAAACTGTACCAACTTCATTGAAACCACCTGATATTTTTATAGCTTCCTAATTAATTAATTTCTATTGTCATTGTTATCCAGTATATTCAGCAGAGCAGAGACATTCTTTTCAAATAAATGTTCAACAACATCACAAAGCCTTCAGTGTCTCCCACCTCAATGAGAATACCAACCAACCAACCAACCAACCACTGGAAGTCCTTACAAAGACCCAGGCAGTCCTATGAGATGTCTACCCTTCTAGCATTGTTGTCTTGCTCTATCCCTCATAGATATTGCAGCCCAGAATCTTTGCATTTGATGTGGCTTTGGCTGGAGTAGTCTCCCAGTAAGCCATATTTGCTTGGCTTACTTGCCCTCCTTTCCTTCACAAATGCCACCTTGTCACAGAGGGCTTTGAGTTGCTCTATCTAAAATTATAAACACCTTTCCCCCATTATCTCTTTATTGCTTTCCTTGCAATATTTTCTGCTCAGCACCTACCTGAACTCTATATTTTATTAATTTTTCTTGTTTAACTTTCTATTTCCCTCTCCCCTGCTAGGAAGTAAGCTCCAAATAAATTTTTTTTTGATTACCAATAAACCAGCTGTTAGAAAACCAGATGCTAGATTCACAATTAATGGGTTGATTGAGGATGTGAATCTTGAGTCTTTCTTTAATTCTCCTCCTTTCCTCTTCCTCTTCCTCCTCCTCCTCCTCCTCCTCCTCCTCCTCCTCCTCCTTCTCCTTCTTCTCTTCCCCCTGCCCCCTTTGAACTAGGCAAAGCCAGAAGCACTTTACCACTGATCTACATCCTGAGTCCTTTTTATCTTTTGTTGTGAAACAAGATTTCATTAAGTTGCTTAGGGCTTTGCTAAATTGCTGAGGCTGGCCTTGAATTTGTGATCCTCCCAAGTTGCTGGGATTACAGGCATATGCCACTGTGCCCAGGATAATTATTTTTATATTCTACAATGGACTTAGATTACAAATTGTAAGTTGTATCGTACTGCCCATTGTGCAAACTTTGGAACTCTTTGGTTCCCCAATCACTTGTACTAAAATTTTGAGTGTATTGTGGCACCTACTTGGGAGGCTGAGGCAGGAGGATTACTTTAGCACAGTTGTTCAAGGCCAGCCTGGGCAACACAGCAAGACTCATTCTCAAAGGGGGAAACATACACACACACACACACACACACACATGTGTGTGTATGTATGTAAAATAAAATAAAATAAATGTTTGAATAAAAGATGAAGAAAATTAGAGCTGGAGAATGATACATTGGTTGCATTTTAATGTCATAAGATATACTGAAATGTGAAGCCATCAAATCATTATAAAAATAGAGGTAAAAGTATAATTGTAAATAAGAGAATATCAAAGTAAATCTTGGGGGATTTTACCTTGTCCCCCCATTGAGTAATTGCTACCTTGAACAAACTATAGAGAAGCTCCTCAACTTATGGTAGGATTACATCCCATAGGCCTATCTTCAATGGAAAACATCATAAACTGAAATGCATTTACAGAACATCATAGTTTAGTGACACAGTACCCTGTAGAGTGGGGTTGTTCACCCTAGTGGTGATGTGGCTCCCTGGGAACTGTGGCTTCCTGCCACCACCCAACATTATGAAAATTAATCATACCACATATTACTAGCCTGGGAAGTGATCAAAATTCAAAATTCATAGGACAGTTTCCAGTGAATAAGCACTGCTTTTGCACCATCTTAAAGTTGAACAAATCATTAAATAGAGCCATAATCATAAATTCTGCACTGTCTATCATTTACTTTTTGAGTATCAGAAGCCTCAACCACTTAGGAGTATCAGAGTCTTCAGGTTGTTGTGTTAAAGTAAGAAAGCCAGTATTTCTATTTCTAATTAGAATAGAGTCTGTATTTTTATATTCAAAAGCAAATTTCATTTACATAATCAAAATTCTATAATCATAATGTTAGTAATATTTTAACTAAGGACACCAAACATCATTCGAAA